TGCCCAGCGCCTGCCCAGCGTCTCCTCAGCCTGCAGCAGGGAGGGGAGGGACGGGACCACCTGCAAGTGGGGTGCGGGCCTGCTGAGCTCCAAACTCTTTCCAGGGGAACCTCTTTCCTGGGGAAGAGCCTCTGGGCGCTGCCAGGAGCTGCAGCTGGGGCAGCGAGGGGCGCAGGGCCAGGCCCCCTGGGACAGCATCTCCGGTGGGACAGGGAGGGGGACGGTGGCCCAGCCTCGGCGCAAGAAGCTGTGCCCAGCCAGAGAGGCAGGCCCTGCTGGGGGGCCGGGAAGGGCTTGGGACCGAGCTCTCCTTCCCACTGGTAGCAGCCGGAGCAGCGCCTTGTTTATGTGGACAGAGGCTGGCCAAGTCGGGAGCTGGAGCATTACCTAAAATGGTCAAAGCCAGAGGAGCAGGTCTGGCTGCTGCCCAGCCTGGCCATGCTCGCTAATGCCTGTCTGGCTCCTCAGAGACATCAATCTATGGGATGGAGTTATCGGGGAGGGGACCACATCAACAGACACAGATCCCCTGGGGAAAGGCAGCGGAAAGAGAGAGGAAAAAGCCCTGGCAGCCCAACACTTAACCCCTTTGTGGCAGGGCTGCCAGGCTGTCAGCATGCCCAGCTGCGCCCCATGCCAGCGGGAACGGGCTGGATCCCCGGTCTCGGTGTGTACGAACATGTGCTCTCACGTGGCACACCTGCTCTTACCGTTCCAGGCAACCTCCAGCTCCTGCGGGAGTAACGGGATGCTCCTGCCCTCCTTCAGTGCAGGGCTCACGTAGGAGGCGAGGTACGGGACGGACTCCCAGATCTGTCAGGGGAAAGGCGAGAGGATTCAGCACGGCCTGCACGTCCACCTCTCAATCTCCCACCACTCTTGCAAGCTGCTCCTGTCCGTAGCCCACCTAATGCGTGTGGACATGGGCCCAGCGTGGACCCAGGCCGAGGGGTCTCTCCCGACGCTGCTCTGGGGCACGCAAACCCAGGCAGCACGCACGTGCTGCAGCGAGCGCGGCAGGGCTGGAGAGGAGTGCCCGCGCGCCTGGTAGTGGAAGGAAAGCGACTGCCTGCGGGCTAGAGGGGCTGATTGAGACTCAGGACTCCCCAGCTCCGGGTTTGTCTCTGCCACCACCTGAGTGGCTTTGAGCGGTTACCTGAAACCATTCCTTTTCAACCCCAGGCGCCGCGGGGCGGGAAACGTAGCAGAACCCAAAGCCCTGCAGGAAGCCTGAGAGTCCCTGTGAAACAGGGGGCATTGCTGGCAACCAGCAGTGACCCAGCACAGCTGCACGGTGCTCTATGCATGAGTGAGGACCAAGTGCCAAAGGGATGTGCCCTGGTCTCCATGCGACCGAAGGCACAGGGAGGAAGAGATGGGGATGCCCCTGCCTGCTCTGACCACACCACTCCCTCGGCAGCCCCAGCAGCCCCCGGGACGCGGAGCCCAGAGCTGCCAGCTGAGAACAACCTGCTTCCTCGGGGCATGACGCCCTCCCTGGAGCCCACTGTGTAGGGAGAAAGGTGCTGGGGCTGCTGACGAAACTCCCCAAGCCATGAATCAGAGCTGTCGTCTCCCACCAGCGAAGGCTCTCGCCCATGGCTATATATAGTGCTGAGAGAGCAGCAGCTCGGGGGCAGGTTTGAGGCATTGCCGAAATCCTCATTACTTCATACCAAAAGCAGCCTTATAGCGAGGGCCGGCAGGATGACGGCCAAAGCGCTGGCCCTGAACGTGTCACCCCACGGCGTTGCCTTTACAGGGATCTGTCGCCGCCACCGGGCTGGGTCTGCTCTGCCTGCCTCCGGGGCACGCCTAGGACGGGGAGGGGAATTACCTTGGCAGCGTTCACCAGCCTCCAGGCGTTCAGCAAGCCGAAGCCGTGCTGATGGCTGTGGCTGAAGCCGGCCTGGTTGACGTCCCACTTCGCGTGACGATCCTCGTACTGAAAAGAAATGCAGGGCACTCTTGTTACCTTGGGGGACACCAGCAGCCTTGCAAACCTGGAGCAAAGGGAACCGGGCCTGAAGGGAAGGAGGCTCAGAAATATCCCGCAGCAGCAGGGAAGCAAACCCACATGGCCTTATTAGAAAGAAACAGGTTGACCTTTGTTTGAAACAAGTCCCAGGACAAACAGGCTTCCCAGCTCCTCAGAAAGGAAATTAAGCAGCACGAAAGGGCACAAATGCTCTGCTCTGAAACGTCCCAGCTGCTCCCTGCTGCCTGCCGCCCAAGCCACAGCCTGTGGGATGGCAGAAGCCTTGGGGAGAAGGAACCAAGTCCTTTAAATCAACAAGAGGTGGGCCAGGACAGATCTGGGTCCCATCACTTATCGGGTTGTAGTACTCTGGCAATGCTGGCTTGCAGTTGTGGAAAACACTGCCCTGTGCCAAAGTGAGTAGAGCATTAGCTGGCTCGGACTCCTGCTCCCCAAAGGGGTGCAGAAGAAGCCCTGTCCCTAACCCGAATCGGGCAGCTCCAGTCCGTTCCCACTCCTGCTCTCTGCAGTGCAGCTGTGCTGGAGTCGAGTCTGAGCGAAAGGAAGGGCTGCGTTTGCTGCCGAGCTCTCCGTTGTGTCTGTTCCCAAGAGCTCGACTCTCTGGAGAGCCCGAGGAAAGGCCAGAGCAGGGCAGAGCTCCTCGCTTTCCCACTGCACGGACTGCGGGGTGGCATTGCAGAGATGCACGCCGGCCCTTTGGCTGGGCCAGCCGCACCGCACGCACACACGCGCTCCCGGTGCCTGCAGGCGAGGCACGGTGAGCCCCTGGAAGACCTGTATGCTGGCAGATGGAGGCATTCGTGGAGCAAATACCCCATTTATTATCATGACAGAGGAAAATGCCTCAGCCGCATTCCTGGGAGGAACAAGGGGCGAGAGGAAAACGCAATCCCTTTGCTGGGAGCCAGACAAGCGAGAGATTTATAGAGGGGCAGGCAGACATAAACAAAGATGTGCACAGCAGGACCTCGGCCATCCTGCAGCATCCCTGAAGGGCAGCAGGAGGGAGGGAGGGCCACTCACCTTGGTGGTGGTGAAGACAATGATGTGCTGGACGTCTCGCCAGGTGAGACACGGCCGCACCTGCAGCATCAGCGCAATCATCCCGGCTGCAAGAGGAGCGGCAGCTGACGTCCCTGTGTGGCCCTCCGTGCAGCCCGTGCCCTTCTGCAAATCCCAGTCTGTTGTCACCTTCGCAGAAAGAGGAGAGATGCCTCCTGTTAGGCCACTGTTTGCCATGCTGGGGCGGCTGGGATAGGTACTCGAGCAACCGAGCACACAGTCCCGGCCCCGAGCTGTGCCCTCGCCACACCCAGCTCCACCGGCAGCCCACGCTCTGCCTGTGACACAACCGCTGGCAAAAGCCCCGGGGACACAGGTTAGCGTGTCCCCCACGCTATGCAAAGGGCACGAGAGACGGGGGCTCCGGGGCTCCCCACCATCATCCTGGACACAGCTAAGAAATGAGCAATGCCCGAGCACAACAGGGAAAAACAGGGCCAGCAGCCGCGCTCCTGGCAGGGAACAAGGCAGATGGCAGAGAGCTCGCGAGCGAGGCCAGCCCGAGCACCCTGCGTGGAGGCCGGGGTCCTCATTTACTGCATGAGCACCCCAGCAGTGTGCGGGGTGGTGCACAAGCTGGTGGGTTTTCTTGACAGCTCTGCAGCGCTGATTTACTGCTTGTGCGTTTCCATCAGCAACGCTCACGTAATTTCTATTGCTCTACCACAAGCGTGATGAGGAGGAAAAGATCCTCCATGGGCTGGCTGGGCACGTGAAGAGAAGGCTTGGAAAACTGGGAGTGAGAGGGGAGAAAAGACAGAATCAGCAGCCCTCCTCCCCAGCAGTCTGGGTCCCCCTGGCCGACCCTCTCCTCCATCGCCAAGGGCCCTCAGGGGTGCCCGATTATTCTTTGCTGAGGACAGTGGAAACCTTCTCCACTGCAGGACGCCTTTGGCCGGGCTGAGCTGACTGTCCTGGGGGAGAGAGGAGCTCACCCAGCCCCTGCTGCACTGCTGCTACGGCAATTACAAGGGTGCTTTGTGCACCCAGCAGTGCCTTTCCCCATTCTGCCAGGCAGCCAGCCCAGCCAGGCATGTCTGTCCAAACGCGGTCTGCCCCAGGTGAACAGATGGGAAAGCCTTTGAGCACGGAGAGGGGTGCGAGGTCTGGCACAGAGTGGGAATCAGAGCGTGACAGCTCAGGCAGGGGAGAGCATCGCGGCACGCAATGCTGGGCCGAAGAGCTGGGCTTCTCGGCACCGTGCCGGGGCACGCAGCAGCCTTTAAAGGGGACCACAGACACAGAGCACCTTCACACCCCTTCCTAGGAGATTTGCTATATCAGAAGGAAAAGGAGGGACTGCAGCTGAGCACCCATGATCCCTCACCCAGGGGCACCTCAGGGAAAAAAAAGGGACAGTGAAAGGCGAGCGGGGGCAGCGGGGCAGCACCCAGTCCGAATACAGCATGCCAAGGCCAGCATCCGACCTCGTTCGTAGAAGGCTTTCAGACAAAACGAGAAAGTTCCCTGGATGTGCAAGGATTCCCCCTCCAGAGAAAAGACATGGGGAGGTGGTCCTAAACCCCCTGCCTGCATGAACCACATCTAGTCTGTCCGTCTCCCAGCCGTCTCTTCTGCACGGGCAGCTTCCCCCCAGACAGGAGGAAGGAATTTGCAGCACATGAGCTTTCTTTCTCTCTGTGGTTGCTGAGATCAGGCTGGGAGGCGGGAGGGGCAGCCAAAGATCCCGTCATCCTCCCTCAGCCAAGACCAGAACAACAACAAGAGCAGGGCAGCAGCAGGGGGAGAGGGTCAGGGATTAGCTGCTGAAAAGCCTGGAAACATTTCCCAGACAGTTCCTGGCCAGAACATGGGTACCCAGCAAAAACCAGTACAAGGTGGGAAGGACAACACCACAGCTCCCCAGTTGAGAGATACGGCCCGGTGCTGGGAGCTGGGACGCAACCAATCCAGCACGGGGCTGAGCAGAGCGGCTCAGGCAGCTTCTCCCCAGGGCAAGGGCAGGAAAGCACCTTTGCGGCCACTGTTTGCACAGTGTTTAGCTAAGGATAAGGAAGAGCAGCTTTACACCGCTCTGGCCACAGACGGTTGCTCTGGCCTGCGGGAGCAACAGCCAAGGCACAGCAGGCACTGCTCCCCTCGCCCCCGCTCACAGCCAGCTTGGCTACAGGGGCTGGACCAGCTCTTGCGAGAAGCTCCCAATTTCAGCCAACATCCCTGGGGCCTCTGGAGGTGACACCTCTTCGCTCTGCTCCCCACGCATGAAAACCAGCACCAGCTCAGGGAGAGGCACGCACACCCCAAACTCGAACACCGCGAGTGTTCTCCAGGGTACTCTGGAGACATGCACGGAGCCTTGCTGCCTTAGGACCAAAATACCCATTCAAACGAGCTGCTTAGGACAGCCACTACTCATAGGGACCTCAAGCTCACCATAAAGAGTCCTGGGACACCCTCGCTTCAGGGACAATGCATCCCAGTTGAGAAGCGATGAATGCAGATAGTTTCCTTTGAGGGGAGAGAGAGAGAGGAACTGGGCCTGAACTAAGCAACTTCAGGGGAAACTCAAGGCAGTTACGGTTTGCGACCTTCCTCATCTTCACTGCTGACCACAGCGTCACCCCAGCACGACCGGGCCTCTGCAGAAGGACCACACGGGACTGTGCAGAGCACACAGAGCCTCAAAAGAGGCATCGGGAGGTTCCCAAATTATGCCACTTCACTGCAAACCGAACGTGTCCGTCTCCCTGTGCTCCCCGTGGGGAGACAGCCTGCGCTGCCAAAAGCTGTAGGTTTTGTTGCCTTCTACGCTTGACTCCGTAACATTCTGCCAGCTGTTAACAACTTCAGCTTGCGCTCGGACGCTGCAGTCCTACAAAGAACACCCTGAGCAGCATAAACTTTCAGTAGGAAATGCAGCTAGTGCCAGAAGCCGTATTAAATTCTTCCCATTAAGGAAACCACACAAAGTTTATAGTCTGGTAAAAGAAAAAACCCAACAGATGGCTGCTGAGAAGTTAACTCTGACATCACTGAAGCAGTTAAAGGGCATTTAGGAGCAGACCATCCTCCAGAAAAAGGGGCGCGTAAGTTTTAACATGGCACAGCCTCGCTAAAGGAGCGATCGCGGTACTGCAAAGAAACAGGACGGCGCTCTGGCACATGCTGTGCCTAGGCTATGCGTGGCATCTCGTCCTGGCTCCCCGATGGAATACCAGCTCCCGCGTTAGTGTCCCGTAGTATTCGAAATGAAGGGGCGTTTGAGACCTTCAAAGCCCTCTCACCAGCAGCAGGCTTGGAGGAAGCTGGACATAAACCCAAACCTCGGTAACTCTGATGAAAGTGCGGCAGAGCCCTTGCTGGGCTGCCGTTTCCTTTTTTCCTAGCGTCAGTAGTTTCCAAACCAGCTTGGGACAATTGGAGTTATTTCTGAATGGAAAAATTAGCCCCGTTC